ACGCTCTTGAAGCAGTGCACCACATCGCGATCGACGTCTTTTGGTACATCGCGTTCCGTGGAGTGTTTGACGAATGTAAACAGTTCACTGCACAGGCTGTCAAGAGGCGAAACTGACATCCCCACTGGTGCCGATGGCTCTAATGATGAGCCAAGCCAGTGTACGTTACCAAACTCAGATATATACAGGGGTGATGAAAATGGTAGTCGGACTGAAGGCACGCTTGGGTTTCCCTTTCGAGGGGGACACTCACTGCCGCAGCCACCAACTGCAGAAACAGCGCCATCTTTTGTGTCAACTTCGCCAGAGGGCAGTTCAGCAGGCGGCAGGACGAGGAGTGAGGGCCTCCCTCCTGCTGCGAGGCGGCCAGACGGTACGGTGGAAGGCGGACTTCAGGAGCCTTCGACTGAACAGCCTCGGGAAAATGCAATACCGCAGGTTGGCGCTACGACCCTGTCAACACACGCAGCAGACGGCGGTGATGGAGGAGGCACCATCACGACCACCAGTGGTCCCAGTGGTGGGAGCGACACAAAAAGCAACGACGGTCAGGCACCGCAGAGTGCTCCATCGCATGCTCCAGAGAACGTTGGCGGCGTGCCAATTAGTTCCGCCACGCCCACCAGCGAGAAGCCAAACGCTTCCGCCGAGGAAAATGTTGCGGACCTCCAAACTGCGGCGGATGCAGGCAGCGGTCACGATGCACCCAGCGACGCCACCGCGACACTCACGGATGGCGCCACTGACATTTTTGAGCGCAGCACAAGTCAGGCGCCTGGGCAGCCAGGCGTCCCGCCAGCACCCGGCGCGGCAGCGCACTTCAACAACGGCTCTCTTCGTTCAACGAACTTCACAGGGCTGTTGCGGATGAACACGAGTGGCGACGACACGGTGCGTGGGTGTGTGCCTCGGCTGTTGCTGCCTGCCCTGCTGGGGCTGTGGGGCATGGCGTGTTTCTTTGCTTAATGAACGGGAAATTACATTTGCGGCGCCTCAACAGTAACAGTAATAATTGATAGCCGCCAGCGCTTCTCGTTTTTGCTTGTTGTCCCTGTGGGCCAACGTCTTTTTCTTTGTGCTTTGAGGGATGTTTTTTTTTCTTTGCTTTGCCACTCCATGCACACTTTCAGTGGGTGGCGCCCCTTCCCCCTCATCCCTTCTGCTTGCCGCTTCCATCAACACACGCACGCCGATGGCCTCGTGGCTGTGCGTCGCACGGACTGCCCAAACGAGGCACGGGGCCGCGGAGACCGTGAGGGGCAACCGTGATGCGTGACTTTGTGACTAGGCAGCCATTTTTTGTTTGTGCGTGTAGGTCCTCCTTTGATGCCGGGCTTACACGCACCTTTCCATCCCTTGTTTTTTCTTTTGTTTTTGCTGTGCTCTCCATCTACGCGAAGGCGCGGGCTTCTCTCGTGGCTGCGTGCGTCCCTCGCACCCACACACGAGCGACGGCACTCTGCCGCCGTGGCGCACTGATGAAAAAGGCTGAGGAGAGCAACAGCAACACGCCGAATACCTCCAGTGATATCTAAATGATGCGCGCAGACACGAGGCAGAACGCTTTTGAATGAAACACACAGTTTCTTTGCTTGTTCTGGGAAAACATGATGAGGGACGGATTTTTTTTAAAAGCGAAATGGGAAATTAAAGCAACACGAGGAACGTTTTTTTTTGTTTTTTTTCAGCATATTTCTTGTGTGTTGCAGCTGCGTGGGCTGCGGTGCGACATTAAGTGTTGCCAGGCGCCTTTTTTTTTGTTCTTTCTGTCTTGCGTTTTTATTGTGTGTATGCGTGCCTGCATGTGCAAAATGACAAAATAGGCGCGTAAAGGCGCACACACGCACAACCACGCGACGCATCTACATATTGCGGTGCGCGTGGAGGATGCTTTCGTAGTTGGTTCTGGCAGTGCCGTAT